CCCTCTCCTTCCTCTCTCTTTTACATTAGGGTTTTTCTCTCGTTTCCTTTATCGACTCCCGAGTTGCTGCTACTGCTGCTTGCTGCTCTGGAAAAGGAAGGGAAAGGGGGGGGGGGGTATATGGAGAGGGGGGTTAAGTGAAAGTTGGCATAACTTGTTGAATGGCGGCGTGGGGTGCTTTCTTTCTTCTTAATCGGCAAGACGTGGCCCGTTTTATGTGCATATGTACCGTACACATGCGAATGTACCGGGTGTTTTGGTGCACGCGCTACAGCGGGCGAGTTTGACGTGGTTCTGCCCATAAGGGACCATGGCCACAGTGAGTAGGCAAACCCATCTCGCACTTTGAACAAGCGAGCAAAAGTGCGACACCAATCACAAATTTTCAAAATCGTTTTTGAAGGGTAGCCTACAGAAAACATTGTATAAATTAAGGAAGTTTTTTGCCCTATACGGTGACGGTTAAACCGCAGACGGAAACCTGCGCCGATAACGCATTACCAGTCGAAAATGAAATCCAGTCGTCGGCATAGACAGACAAGCCCGACGCGGATAAGCCAGTCGCTCTCCCCAGGAGTGGCGGCGGGCGACGGGGGTGGGGGTGCAATTAGACTTTCCAACCCCCTCCCCCCTCACGCTCGCCTCTCTTTCCCGGCGCTCCGCGGGTCGGGTCGACGGCCCCGAGGCGAGAAAACGAGAATAACTCCGGGGGCTGCTGCTGCTCCTTTTTCCTTTCGTCTGCCTCGCCGTCTAGGTCAAGGCCGCCTCAATTAAAAAACAAATCGATTCCCTCCGCCCCGTCCCGCGCGCCTCGCTGCGCTTCCAGATGAACAAGACTTTCATGCGAAACTCTGCGAGAGAAACTTTCCCTGCGCCGACGCACACGATAAGGAGAGGGCGTGGTGAGTAGATTTGCGTTTGATTGAGGAAGTCCCGCGGGCTCGCTATAGCCAACCCTGTCGCCGTCATCGTCGTCATCTCCACACGGGAGGATGCGCAATCGCACCCACAACCCTACAACGAGAACCAGGGAGAGCCAAGCACCGCCGCCACCGAGCTCTCCTTATAACAGATGTAAAACATACATGTTGACTGGATATTTTTGCATTGAAATATTAACGATTCATTCATTGTTATCGTAAAGTTGAAAAGTTAGACATGAAAACAAAATGTTGGCGAAACGTCGAAAAAGTCAATGGTGTGTTTAAATCGCTCCTGCGGAAATATTTACCTAATTTGAAGCTATAAAATCGTAGGAGTATTTTCACTTACAGCCGCAGTGGCCGCATTTTCCAAACACTCCCATGGTGGACTCGGGGCAGGCACCGCGTCGTCGAGGCAGTTTCGGCCGTCTTCACGGCCACAACATACACGCCGCCCCGATGGCGCCCCGCACGGCCCAGCCGTATTTTACCGGTGGCCCAATGTTTTTCCAGCGATGGCAATTTCTGTTATCAGCGTGGCCCGCATGGCTCCGCCTCAGCACTCGCGACGCGGCGGCCAGGTGGGCGCCCGGAGGGTAGGCCACTTATCGTGCGCGGCCGTCGCACGACGAGTTCCGGTTGCCCACTTGCCGGGGGCTATTCACACAGTCCCATGCACCTGAAATAAAAAAGAAACCACGGTTGTTGTTTTAAGTCAATAACATACAAGTGGAACAAATGAGGGAAAATAACACGTTCTTTACGGCTATTTTTTTTTGTGCCTGTGATTTAACATGAGGGGCGTTACCCATAATGGTCACGCCACAAGTATCTTGTTAACTACACTTAAAAAGGCGCCCGTCTCCAAGTGTGGAAAATGTCATTCACACATCTGCAGATTTGTAAATGTGCTGCCACACCTTTGGTTTTCCAGTGCAACAATAATAACAAACGACAAAGACGACAACAAAATCATAAAATATTGCATTCATCAATGTCAAGCAACGCTTTCTGCGCTAAAGTTGTCGGTACTTTCTTGTGGAGCCACAGAGATAAGGGCGCGTCCCACACATGAGCCGCGGGGCGGACTCAATCAGGCGCGGCGTCGCGGCGGGCATCAATCATGAAGGCAAACGGAAAGGCGTCGCCATCTTGTGCGAAAAAAAAGCGGGGAGTGCAAAAAAAAAAGAGAAAGAAAAGCCTGCAACCTTGCGCGCTGCTGCGCGGTGGAGGGAGAGAGGAGAGGAGGACCTGTCGGTGAGAGAGAAACGCGCGGCCGGTATGGAGAGACGAGGGAGAGAAAATGGGGGCGGCTATAGAGTTGATAGTGAAACGGGGATGGCGAGTGAAAGGAAAAGAAAGAAAAGTAACTCAAAAGAATGCAAGGCCAGGCCAGATAATTGATAGTCCAGGAAATTTCACTATAACAAGTGGCCAATGTTGACAATGACGGTCTTCGGTACAGAAGTACATAACTTTTCAAATTTAAAGCAAACCAATCACTTCCCGAATTCGAGGTGCAAGCGCAATAAGTGCTATTCTGTGCAGTATAGTGGCTGGCGAGGGGGCCACCACTCTCTCTTTGGATGTACACATGATTGCAAAGATTGCGTGATTTCACATGATTTCACGGATTTCGCATATTATTTTAGAAGATTTTACGCTAAAACCTGCCGGCAGATTATGTCTGATCTGAAGGATTATAGATGATTTCAGCGGATTTTACCGGATTTCGGCGGATTTCACGAGATTCCGGCGGATTTTACGTGATTCCGGCGGTTTTTACATGACCTTTTGGGGATTTCAGACTAAAATTTGCTGGCAGATTACGCATGATTTCATGATTGCAGGTGGATTTCAAATGATTTCGGGAGGATTTCAGGGAGGGCGTACACATGATTTCAGGAGTGGCGGCCCCCTCG